AATGAGGGTGTGAAGACATTTGATTATAAAATTTTACTATGTAAATTCGAATTTTACTATGATGCAGATCACCCAAATTTTACTATGTTTTACAACCTCCTGTAGATCGGCGGGAAATGTCCTGTGACTGTGAGTGACACTTGACCCCCTGTAGATCTGCAATGTCCTGCGACTGCTATTGTTATGCTACACAAAAGACGCAATAATTTTTCACAACAAATTTTTTCATACAAGTATACCACAGTATCAACTATGCTTTCTAATTTAGACACAGCAATCAAAACATATTTTGAGACTACACCTACTTTGAAATGGTCATATCTTGGTTTTTTAAGGGCTTTGAAACCTTTTTGTCTTTCTGATCCTAACTCAGTTGAGAACCAAAACTCAATATGGAAGAAAAGATACTGTTCCTTTTTAAGGAACTTTCTCGCTGAAAAAAAGAAGCAAGGTCTACAAGATGAACATAATAAACAGCAATATGATCATGTAGTGTTTCTTCTGCAACAGGTCTGTCATTTACAATAGTTCTCTGAACTGTCAAAGATGATGCTATGCAGCCAAAAGGGGGTGTTATAGGGGTGCCGTTCCTCTTTGATTCCTTCTCATGGTGGGTGCCATTCCTTGTATTTCTGTCATCAGTTGTAGGAGTGCTCATGGGGTGCTGTCCTCATGTGTTCCTCTGTGACAACATTTCAGTCTAGTGTTCCATCTCTCAAACCAAAATAGGAAATAAAGTGGTTGTAACCACCACTAAAAGTTGTGAACAGAATCTATAGCTCAGTCTTGTTATTATATTAATTATTCCTAACTTTCTAACTTTCTGACTGTCTTTTAGAAAGAATTTAAAGTGGAAGATTTTTGGAGAATTGTAAAACTAGAAAAAGAACTTGTAAATGAGTTGGAAGATAAAAGAGTGAATATTATGCATTTTGAATAATACTTGTTTATACTTTAATTATATCAAATACTCATTCCCAGCTTTCAAGATTATTGTCAAGCATAAATCACAGATTGACGGGCTGGAACTGCTCAATACTGCATGTCAGCAACAAAATCATGTGCTTGTTGATGAACTAAATTTGCATATGTTGAAAAAACCACATTTAATGGAAACTGAAGTGGTAACAGATGAAAAAACGAATGATTCAAAAACAACTGGTGTAACTAGCATTGCTGAGGACACTGACAATGAACAATCTACAATTGAATCAATTGAATACAAGGAAATTCTACATGGAAAGGTTGATTTTTTCACATTGATTTTCTGTACAATTTCAGCAAAATCTTGGTCATTGTAATGACCAACTTCTTTATACATAGGATAAAGATCTTGTTAGCAAAAAAATGTTGCATGATGCATATCTTAATACATGTCAGAAAGTCTATGATCATAATTCACAAAAAGATGTAAGTTGACCATTCTGATTTCACAGACGTTTTTATGTGCTGACTATTGTATTCATTTATTTTCTTATTTTAGTGGATTATTGATCTATACAATGTTTCGAATGCTTTTCATCAGTATTAAAGACTAGTGCTGTAAATTATGATGATGGTAGTAATTGTATTTACGGCACATAAAAAGTGGTTGCAATTACCTTTGTGACCACTTTTGCAACCATCCTTTTTCCTTTTTTGGATTATGGCACTAGTCTTTAGTCAGTATCAAATAACTAATATTGACAAGCTGGAAAGTAGTGAAGGTTTCTGATTTTCATCAGATTGGGAAGCTATCTTGTATGTATAATTAATTTCATATATAGCAATGATTAAATTGGATCTAATGAAACTTTATGTTACAGATCACTTCATCATATCATGTTCATTGATTTGACAAAGATGAAAAAACTATCATATATGTCATTTACAAATGAACATAGATGGCGTGCTTCAATTCATCAATTGAGTCAACAAAGCCTGCCCCACTTCTTCCAAGATATCATGGATGAATATGAGAGAGTAAATAATATAGATTCATTCAAAAAATTCAAAAAAAAAATAAATTATAATTTTTCCCAAGTCAACAATCTCAGATGATATTTCACAATCAATTAAAATAGGTTATATATGACATTGACGAACTTTGTTCCAAGTTCTACGAAATCTGGGGAAAATACTATGATCAAGTGATATACTTGAATGAAGAAAGATGGCTATTTGAAACTACACAAATTGTCACCCGCTCTTTGTATTGATTTTATTTTCGCTTTTGTTTGTTCATCTTTTTTTTTGTTTCATTTAATCACTTTCTCACTAAAATTTCCTTCAAGTTATGAGAAGATGCACATTTCAGACTCAAAGAAAGAAAATAATGAAGATACAGTCATGCACAAATATATGCATGATGCATTTAAGGAGACTTTTTGCAACTCAAACTATGATATCCTATGGTAGGTAAACATGCATTGTTTGATGACATTGATAATTTCTTTGTCTTCATTTTGTTCTTTGTTTGTTCTCCAATAAGGGCAAACAGTCAAAGCCTCTCATCTAAGGAGCACCATGCAACCTATGGACAATATAAAGGGAAAAAACCAGATATGCTCATCTGTTGAATTCTTGAAAAAGGGAAATATGATGAATCTTGTTTCATTGAAGTGAAACATTTTTCCATCACAAAAAATAGTAACATTGGTGGTTATAATTTTTATAAAGTCCCCATTCTCTGTCAAGGGGGTATTAATAAAATACAGTGAACCCTCTATAAGTGCACCCCCCTCAGGAACATAGTGCTATTTCTTGTGAGCATGCACTTATGGAGGGTGTGCATTTATGGAGGGTATACATAGTGCGTGCATTTATGGAGGGTATGCATAGTGCATGCACTTAGGGAGGGTTCACTGTAGTGTCATCATATGAAAATAAACCCGAAATTGAAATTCAAACATTTGGTGCTTACACTTGTGGTATGTTGTTTTTTTCACTTTTGGTGGTTTCGTTTTTCTAATTATTTTGTTGTAAATACAGGGGGGTATCTTTATTTATTTATGATGGACTTGAAGTATGATGTCATCTATCGTTTCTTTCAGCTTTCTGAGATTAAGCTTGCTCAAAATATCCCTGAGTTTAACCTTGTAAGAAGATTAATTGTTGAGTTATATTATTTCAAGGTAAACCTTTCTCATTAATGAGTTGGATAATTCCCAATTCTACATACTTACCTCTTTTTTATTTAGTGTTGCATTGACTGTTACTATTCTAATCAAAATAACCATGATGAATTCACCAAATTCCTTGCACCTACTCCTTGTCAAAATATCTTCTCTCGTTCTCCAGTTATCACACCTAAAACATCTGGAGGCGGAATACCAATCATTAGCTTGAAAATTGAAGAGACTAAACAGAAAACAGGAAATAGAAAAGAAAAGGCATGTAAAGTTCAATCTCGTAAGACATGGAAATAGAATAAGTATGAGTTAACCATCCAAGTAAACAAAATAAATAGGTGTAACTGAAAATAATAAAGTTTCGCCCAGATGAACTTTTATCTTTAGGTTCATGACAACATCTGAAGTGGTATTGTTTCTTTAAATTTTCATCTATATATCCTTAAATCTGGAAAAACAAGCCCTCTAGATAAAAAGTATAAATAATTTGTTGATTGAAAATTGACATCGTTCTTTTTTTTAACTGAATCACTTTTGTTGATTAAGACATTTTTCATATTAGTATATATGGAATGTTCACTTTGTCTGATTTTGTTGCAGCATGCCCCAATTTATATATACCCATTTTTATTTTTATCATACCAGTGCATAAATTTAGTTTTTTTTCATTCATAAAAAAAAATACAAGAATATCTGACTTATTTAAATATTAAAAATTTCTAACACAGTTGAATGCAAAGTAATCATGTTATGGTAATGACTGACTTGATTCTCCACATAATATAATATATGTTTTGATGATAAATGGCTAAATAAATTTTCCTTCTTCATGCTGCTTGTAAACAAATTATTTCATAATTGCAAAAATACATCTACATCTGTGTAGGTTGATTAATATAGGAATGAAAGCTACAGATGAATTTTGAGAAAAAAATGCCAAGGATTCTACCAAATAAATTTTTGAATCCATTAAAACAAAAGCAAATCCATTCTTTATGCCGGATATTAGAGATATATGGGGTGTGGACAATAGAAACGAACCATGTTGTGAAAAAAGCAATTTTGAGTTAGTATCACTATTATATGTAATTCCTCATGTAGAACATTTTTAGCTTAGAAACCATACCCACTTTGCTTAATAAAACTTTGAGATACCCTCCATTAAAGTTTTAAAAACAATAGTAAATTACTTGAAATGCAGATCTTTTTTTTAAATTTTCTCAAAACATCATTTTCACAACATGGTCTGTTTCTATTGTCCAGACCCCATATTTGCTGTACAAATTTGTGGATTCCCACCGCCTGTAATAATTTTATGATTAATTAATATTTAATCAAAATTTCAAAATATCAACTTACTACTATAAATGCTAACATTAAATAATCTATTTTTTTGCAATTGCTCACAAAAATGACAAATATTTCAGTGTGATCAGTATTAAGATACTGTATGTTGTACAGGAAGTACTTCTGATGCAAAATCTACACTATCATTAATCCATTTTGCTTTACTTTTTAATTCATCTAGCAATTTTCTTTTTTCTACCTCATTCAATTTATTCCAACTAAAATTTTTTCTAAATTTTTTGGGAAATAATTCTTTTGCAACATCTTCAACTGGTGGTATACCTTCATATGATGTTATTCCTGCTACACATCTAAGATAAATTTTCATTCTTTCATTGTTTAAACCATAACATAATTTTCTTCTGACATTAAAGGTTTTTTTTGTCAAAAAGTTAGTTATTTGTGTTGCATTATTTGTAAGTTTACAGGCACTAGATTTGGAATGTCTTTCCAAAAAGTCTGGATCAAATTTACAATTTTTTTACCACATTTACATATAACATAAAATTCATCAACAACCTCTCTAACATGTCAAAGAAGCTTTTCTTTTGAATTTTTTGTCATTGTCACCGGAATGCGAATTTGACCTTAATTTGCTGATCAACGACCCCGAAAATCCGGATCAATATTATTTATATTATTTTATATTATTTACATTATTTATTCATATTTATTTCTTATTTTTAGTTATTTTTAGTTACTTTATCTATTATTTATTTTTATTTGTATTAATTTTCCAAATGATTAATTCATAACACATTAGCATTAGACCTTTATTTAGTAGAAATTAATGAAAATTATCCCAGATTGGGAGAAACATCCCAGACTGGGCTAATTATCCCAAACTGGGACGGGTATGTATTACTTTACCGACAATCATTTTACCAACAGTTCATTTTACCAACAACACACACGCGCCATTTTAGCATTTTATTTGTTGTTTGATATGTGGAGGTTAAATGGCGCACCGCGTGTTGTCG